TTGTAATACCTTAACTAATAAAGAATTTTAAAAAATTTTAATTTCACATAAAGATAAGTTGCATCTCTCTACACATCAAAAATATAAGCCAGTCAGAGAAAGGTAAGTATCACATTATCTCACTCATTTGTGGAATATAATGAACAACATAAACTGATGAACAAAAATAGATCCAGAGACAGAGAATCATCAAACAGACAGTCAAATCTCAGCGGGAAGGCAGGAGAGGGTTGGGCGAGGAAGAAATCAACCAAAGAACTTGTATGCTTATAAGCATAACCAATGGACACAGACAATGGGGGTGGGGGTAAGCTGGGAGACAACAATGGGGGGAAAGGAGACAATACTTTCAACAATAAAGAATTAAAAATAAATATAATTAATTAATGAAATAAGTAGAAGCAAAAATAAATACATAAGTAAATAAATAAATAAATAATGTATTTAATTCAACTTTTTATTGATCCAATCCAAAGATCAATTAAATGAAACTATATATGTTGTCTTCATGAGAGGGTAAAAAGTCCAAAGAAATGTTTATAAACTTTTTTCTTTAGGTACATGCCCTTGACCGGAATCGAACCTGGGACCCTTCAGTCCGCAGGCCGACGCTCTATCCACTGAGCCAAACCGGTTTCGGCAAAAATATATTAATTTTTTTAAAAATTGTTACCTGGCCAGCGTGGTTCAGTGGTTGAGTGTCTACCTATGAACCAGGAAATCATGGTTCAATTCCAGTCAAGGGCACATGTCCAGGGTTGTTGGTTCAATCCCCAATGTGGGGCATGCAGGAGTCAGCCAATCAATGATTCTCTCTCATCATTGATGTTTCTAACTCTCTTTCCCTCTCCCTTACCCTCTCTGAAGTCAATTATAAATACATACATATATACATACATACATACATAAATTTTTAAAATTGTCGACAGCTGTCAGGAGGGAGGCGATTTGAGAGCTGAATGAAAGTGAAGAGATTAAGCAAAAAACATAGACACAGACAACAGTGTGATAGCCAGAGAAAAAGGGGAGTGAGGATAGGTGGAGGTGGGAAAGCGGGATAAACGGGATAGAAGAAACTTGGCTTTGGGCAATAGGTGCACGATGCAGTATGCAGATGTTTTATTGAGTTGTACATTTAAAACCTTTATGGTGTTGTGAACCAATGTCACTCCAATAAATTCCACTTTTCAAAAATGAAAAATTTTTTTTATATGTACGTAGCACTTGAAAGTCAAGTACTAGTAGCAGTAGTCACAGTAGTCACAGTAGTAGCAGCAGCAATAATAGTAGGAGGAGGAGGAGGAGGAGTCATATTTTATTTAAAGATTTTTCTGTCCCAGAAGCATCGATCAGACCATCAAACCTCAGAGAGAAGGTAGGGGAGGGTGGGGGTGAGGGAGAGAGATCAACCAAAGGACTTATATGCACGCATATAAGCCTAACCAATGGACACAGACAACAGGGGGGGAAGGGCATAAGTGGGGGAAAAGGGGGGTAATGTGGGGATAAGGACACATATGTGATAACTTAATCAATAAAGAAATTTAAAAATAAATAAATAAAGATTTTTCTGTCCCTAGAAGTTCGTTTCCTTATAATCATTACAGTGGGGTCTTGACTTACGAGTGTCCCAACTAACGAGTTTTTTGAGATACGAGCTGTCTCTCGGCCGATTTTTTTCTTTGAGTTGCGAGCTAAAATTCGGGTTACGAGCCAGCTTCAGATACCCCACCGCTAGTTGGCGCAGCGAACGTCACAGTGAACGCCACAACATTAGCCCAGCATCACATGTCTCATTCATGACGGAACGAATTAAACTCGTAAGTCAAGGCCCCACTGTACTCTGAACTCTATACCTGATAAATTGCTTCCCTCTATTGCATTTAGCTCTTCTTGTGGAGAATTCTCTTGTTCCCTCCTTTGGGCCTGATCCTTTGTCTTCCCGTTTTGGCTGCCTCTTTGTGTTTGTTTCTATGTATTAGGTAGATCTGCTATGACTCCCAGGATTGGTAAGGTGGCCTTAAGTAGTAGATGACCTGTGGAACCCAGTAGCACAGTCTCCCTGATCAACTGAGCTGGGTGCTCTAAAAGTGTCCTTTGTGCATGTCATGTGGCCCTCCTATTGTCATTGAGGCTTGTTTGCTATTGGCATGTTCATGTGTGGGATCGACCCTCAGGCTGGCTGACAGTTGAGGCTCAACCTTCAACAGAGCATGCAAACTGCTATGCAGGTGCTGATCACATGAGGTGGTATTCACCTCAGCAGTGATTGGTGGCTGCTGAGATCTCCCTATGGATATGCTGCTTGTGAAGCTTATTGGATCCTGATTTGTTATTGTCTGGAGCAGGCCTCTGGGTTTATTGGTTCTGGGCCTCTTTTGAGGGTCTCTGGTACAGGCCAATGTCAGACAATATCTGTGCCTGGACCTGGGCAACCTGTTTGAAGCTATCAGTGATCCATAGCATGTGGCTCCCTCTGCTGAGCCTGGGTGCATGTGGAAAGGACCAAGCTGCACACCAAGACCTGCTTTTACTAGCACCAGGCCCAGGGGCAGGTCAGCAAAAGTCTCAAAGCATCCAGAGATATGCCCCTGCCAGCAGGCTATCTCTTAGGGTCAGTCACTTAAAGAACTTCTGGCTATATTCCTCAGCAGGGCTTAAGCTCCACATGGTAGGGCCAAAAGGATTCCAATGGGTGGGGCTATTGCTCCCCCCTAAGCTTACACTGCATCGTGGGAAATGCTCAGCTTAAGGAAGATGGTTTCTGCAGTATGGGGGGAATAACTCAGCACAGGGATCCTGGCGGCTGACCTCTCAGCTCTCCTCTCAGAGCCACCAATCTTAGACTGTCTTCATACAGCTCTAGTCCGTTCTGTCCTTGCTCCACTAGAGCCCAGGGTGAGTGGCTGCAAATGAAATTTTGTGTGTTGGCCCTTAAGAAGGGTGCCTGTATTTCTAGCTATCTCTCCCTGGCAGACAGAAACCCCCTGTTTTTCACAGTCAGATGTTATGTAGGCACTTTTCCTGATTCTGATGCTCTGGGCTCAGGAGTCCAGTTTGGGGTTTAGATCCTAGACTTCTCAGGTGGAACTCCCTACAGCTGAGATATCCCTCCAGAACTTCAGCTGCCACCTGTGGGAGCCCCACCAGCCCTCTCATGCCTCCATACTTCCTACAAGTAAGAATGTGGCCTGCTCTGTATGTCCTTGGTTATAAAGCTTCTCTCCATCTGGTCCTCAGTTGGTTATTCAGGATCATTTTTCTATTCTTTTTTTAAAATATATTTTTATTGATTTCAGAGAGGAAGGGAAGGGAGATAGAAACATCAATGATGAGAGAGAATCATTGATCGGCTGCCTCCTGCAGGCCCCCCACTTGGGATCAAGCTTGCAACCTGCAACCCGGGCATGTGCCCTCAACCGGAATCGAACCTGGGACCTTTCAGTCCACAGGCCGACGCTCTATCCACTGAGCCAAACCAGCTAGGGCATTTTTCTATTCTTTAGTTGTAATTCCAGGTTAGTCCTGGGAGGAGGTGAGTGTAGATTCCACCTAACCTGCCACCATCTTTTGACAATTGATTATCATTTTCCCTTAAAACTCTGAAAGTAAGTGGCACTGTTTCTAAAGCCCTTTGTCAGCAGTTGATTTACCTTAATGAGTGCCTCTATCCCACTTAAAACTTGGAATGAATGATAGTAGTGTCTCCACGCTACCTATAAAACTATGACATTGCTAGGAATCAGCAGATGTTGGTACTTAAGAAAAGCCAATACAATTCATTAATAACACAACAAGGAAAATTATGGAGATTCCAAGCCAGAAAACGCAATGGAGGTGGTCTATCCAGCATGGGGAGACACACATCATGAAGCCTCAAGACTTAGCTAATCTCAGTTTGTTCCTGTTCATCTACCTTTCCTTCAAGCAAACTCAGACAACCTTTGCATTAAATTCTGGACTTTCTGAGTCTTCAGAGGAATAAAAGACACAAATAGTAGTTCATAAAATCCAATAATCTATAAGTTAACATTTGATTTCAAATATTTAAAAACCCATTAACAAAAATAAAAATTACTTCATTCTCAGCAATGTATAACCACTAATTGCCTTAAGCAAACAGGCAGACTACGTTTGATGTCTTTAGGACATAAGGAAGGTGGAAGTAGGTGGGGAAATGGGAGAGGAGACAGGGTTGGGAGGGATTATACATGGTCCAAGTCTCCCCCTGGAGACCCAGCCAATGAGGCCAGACTGCTGTGCCCAGCTGTAGAAAGACAAGGGAAAACTTTTCCCCTTGCCAATCCCCTTGATATAAACTTTCAGGGCAATCCCCGTTTTGCTGAATAGACAGTACTTTAGATTGACTGAGAGAAATGCTTGTAGCTTTCACATGAATACTATTATGCTTGTCTTTAGATTTTGAGATATTCGGACATCACTTTTCATTACCTACTAAGACATTGCAAATCATAAATTCTTGGTCTTGAGCTACCTGTCCCACTTTTTCTTCACCAGTGAAGATGGGTCCATCTCAGGTTGACCCTCAGGTGGTTCTTGAGGTTCGGTCTCAGATTTAGATACAATTTCCTCTTCCAAGAGAGGTAGTTGTTCACTGCTTCGAGATACAACTAGAACACAGCTTAGGCTATGTGTCATTAATGAGACAAACTCTTCAAAGTCAGGCTACAAAATAAAATGATAAACGGGTCAGGTTCCTGAAATGGATAGGCTAACATGGCAGCTACCACCTAAGTCAAGTAGCATCTTCCCCTTCATGATCACTGGGCAAGGGAATGGTATCCTTATAAAGCCCCTGTTAACAGACACATCTTTCAAGGATTAAAGCTCACAGTCAGCAGGGATTGATCTTAAAGACAGTATAATACAGTGGTTCTCAACCTTCTGCCCTTTAGATACAGTTCCTCATGTTGTGACCCAACCATAAAATTATTTTTGTTGCTACTTCATAACTGTAATGTTGCTACTGTTATGAATCGTAATGTAAATATCTGACATGCAGGATAGTCGTGGGCGACCCCTGTGAAAGGGTCATTCGACAGCCAAAGGGGTCGCGACCCATGGGTTGAGAACCGCTGGTCTAATAGCTGCCCTGGCCGGTTTGGCTCAGTGGATGGAGCATCGGCCTGCGGACTCAGGGGTCCCACGTTCAATTCGGTTGGGGGCATGTGCCTTGGTTGCGGGCACATTCCCAGTGCGGGGGGGGGGGGGGGGGGGGGGAGGCGGCTGATTGATGTTTCTCTCTCATCGGTGTTTCTGGCTCTCTATCCCTCTCCTTTCCTCTCTGTAAAAAATCAATAAAAAATAAAATTAAAAAAAGATAGTCTAATAGCTATTCTCAAACTCTAGGAATTTTCCAAATCATCTGAAGGGCTTGCTATGTGAATGCAGGTTTCTGGAGCCCAATCCCAGAGTTTATGATTCAGTAGATTTAGGGTGGGGCTCAGGAATTGGATTTTCTCAAACGCTCCCAGGTAAATGCTGATGTTGCCAGTCTAATCCTTTCTGGGGCTAACAGAGATGCTTTGAGTGGTGCAGCTAGTTTACGAAGTGCTATGCAGTAGAACTTTCTCCGTGACGACAAACATGTTCTGTGCTCTCCAACATATGTGGCTAGTGCAACTAAGACTGAATTTTTATTTAATTTGTACTTAACTTATTTAATGTATCTAATGGCTACCATATTGGACAGTCAATTTGTAGAAGCTATGTCTCCTCACCCCCAAGCCAGTGCACTTTCCAGTACATAGCACTGCTTGTATCATATACCGCCAAGCAAGAGAGAATTAAAAAATAGCTTGAGAGAAAGGCTTTTGGGTACAGAAAGAATTAAAGCTTTCCTGTAAAGTGTATGACAAGTAGCCTTCCACCTGGGACAAAAATCTATAGGAAATTCCTGGATATTTACTTCCAGGCTCATGCAGGGAGTGTTAGAGGACATAATATAATGAGGTCTTCATTCCAAAAGAACACAATTAGATCACCCACTTCTGGTCGACTGATGGAGATTTCTCCAGAGTCACCATCTTTGGTATTACCATGGTATGGACACAAACAGGGAGAGCAGGAGCTTATTTGGTTGGTCACACTTATGCATTTGCTTTTCTATAATGAGGATCTAAAACGGATAAGAATGTAGAAAACACAGTGGGGTTTTTGTTAAACTTTCTTACCTGCTCTGCTATTTGACTATAGAATTCCCTCACTTGGTTTTCAGTGAGCACTCTATTATCTTCTGCTTCTATGACAAATCCTGCGTTGACAATCTTCAATGAGAGAGCAAGGTCAGAGGTTGTAGGACCACGTGCAAAACAAGTCAAGGACCTTTGTGTCCTAGGCTTCATATACCACCCCAATTTTAATGTATTTCATGTAAAGACCTCAGCACAATCAATAGGGCACTAGATTTGAAGAGGCTCAAAAATAAATATCACAGAAGGCCCTTGTCAAGCCCTTAGTATTTAAGTTTTCAACACTTAATCCAGAGACACCATAATATTTATATTATTTATGTGAATTGCCTCAAAATGTGAAATAAACTAATAGAATCACTCGTAAAGACATAAATTTCCTAACCATCCATTTTTGAAATCACTAACTTTTTTAAGGCTTTACTTTGTTACGGTTATAGCTCATGATCTCTTATATTTTAATTTTCTAACAACAAAAATAAGCAAATTATGGGGAAGGGCAGAATTTAAGATTTAGCCACGTGTTACTTGTCTTAAAGAAAATTTAATTTAATGACAAATTCAGTTTGCCTGTCACACTCAAGTATAATAAAATGTAACAAAGAGAAGTTTTTAGGCTAATATAACAAGTCCAATGAGGAACTAAACAGCGAAATATAATAAATAATACACAGTCCGAAGTGTAACCTGGATTCAAAGCAAGTTAGTAATTACATGAAATTATATCAATAATTTGACCTCAATTTGATTGGGTGTACCCAGCACCAATTCTTTCTGCTTCTATTATTAAAGCGAGCTCTGACCTGGTTCCATGGGCTGGATTGATATTGCAGAGCTATATTTACATCTTAGTGACTCCTCTCCTGACGTTCCAATTTGAAAAATTTCTAAATACTCAAATCATGTCTGTTAAGTTCTAAGTGTCTGACAAAAGAAAATTCAAGCAACTTTTAAACTTGATAACTTCTCCTTTGTTATAGTTGAAAAATGCAGTGTGTCCATTTTCTTTTTATTAAAACATTTTTTAAACTTTTTCTGCCCTGTGGGTTATGTAGCTTTTTACTGCATTCCAGAGAAGTGAGGTATGTAGTAGCTATTGATAATTTACATTTCTGAAATGTTGTTTAGTATGTCAAAACAAAACATTTCAGATGAAATGATGATTAATAGCATTGCCTTAACTAAAACAACTATATAATTTGAAAATCTTCACTATTGTAGCTATTAAAACATACTAGAATAAGCAACTGTAAACCATTGGTAAGGATATTATTTTTGAAAACTTTATAAAATATAAGCAATATATGGGGCACTGAGGTACAGTCTGTGTCCCCCTTCCCACATACACACCAGAATCTGGAAAAGAGGGGGCTGGGGTTTATACTTAGAGAGAAGTATCAATTAAATCAACTCATAATTGGGAGAGAGAATATATGTACCATGACCCGTGGATCATTAATCAGTGATAATGCTACTATAGCTAAAGAAAGAATACACAATGGGAAGTTCATCAAGAGATACCCAACCCCTTCTGACATAGCACTCTATGTGATCTCCTCTACCGCACATGCAATATTCTTTCAAATTTCAATATAATTTTGTTGTTTCAACACAAAGTCTTTATTCAGGGGTCAGCAAACTATAGCTTGCAGTCGAAATCTAGCCCACTACCTATTTTTTTAAATAAAGTTTATTGGAACATAGTCACACCCGTTTGTGTACATAGTGTCTGCTGGTGTTTTCTCCATATGATCGCATAGTTGTGACAGACCATGTACCCACAAACTTGAAAATAGTTACCAAATGACCCTTTAGAGAAAATGTCTGTTGACCTTTGGATTAGAATGCAATTTTCCTCTAAATTTTTTTTTCTCTAAAGCAAAATATTAAATACATCCTTAAGCTATCGTGTATCTAAAAAGGACCATACATTTATGACAACACATAGGGAATAAAGCAAGCTAATGTGAGCTTATAACAAGTTTTCACTCAACATGAAAAACATTTGCTGCAATCTAATATGACGGAGTTATTTAAATAAGGATGCCTGAGTGGTTCTGGCCTTTTAAAGACAAAACATTCAAAGCCATTAGAGGCACCGGAAGTTCATTATGTTCTATTTTACTCTAAATGATATGCTTATCTCTAAATTGACAATTAAGGGGTTGTTATTTTTCAGTTAATTGAAACTATTATTGTGAAATATTACTTACATTTTCTTTAATTTCCGTAGTTTTTCCAGTATTCCTAGCCTCGGGTTTGATAATAGCAATACTGTATATTCGGTCTGGGAAAAAATAAATAGAAAAATTTCATTGTCTTGGCACTAACTCTAGATAATGAAGGTTTTAGTAATTAAAAATGTAAACTACTGATGTCCAATGAATTTTTGTCCATTGACAGCTTTGTTCGTATTGTGGCATCTCAACTACCAAAGAGGTTCTATTTGGAATCAAAGTGCACATCCTACATTTGCATACAAGAGAAACATTCACAAGAGTTTGTGGTACAAATAATAATAATAGTAGTAGTTGTAAATAAACACAAAAAACAGACTAGGTAGGCACTGGTCCTGAAAGGCTCCAGACATAGAGAGCAAAGACAAGGGGAAGGGAAGCAAAGGAAATTTCTTTAAAAAAATATTTTTTTCATATTGATTTCAGAGAGGAAGGGAGAGGGAGAGAGAAACAGAAACATCAATGATGACAGAGAATCACTGATTGGCTGCCTTGCCCCACACAGGATGGAGCCGGAAACCCCGGGCATGTGCCTTAACCACATGCCCTGACTGGAAATGGAACCATGACCTCCTGATTCATAGGTCGATGCTCAACCACTGAGCCACACCTGCTGGGAAAAAGAGGTTTCCTTTCAATAACTGGATCTAGTATTGCACAAATCATAATTTATCCTACCAGTTCCTTATCAATTCATACTGATGCTATTACCAGCTCTTTGCTACTTTAGGTGATGCTGTAATGAGCATCCATCTACTACAAATCCCTTGCCATTACTTTAAATTTTCTTACCAGTAATATCTTTGGATGCTGACCTGGCAACTTCTGCATTTGAGCCTACAAGTCCAATTTCATGATACTATGGAAGAAAAATGCAAGTAAAACAATTACATTTTAATGTGGTAGTGAGTTTTTAGAAATTTTATTTCTGATAAACATTTATAATCCAAGGGATAAAAGGTAAAGTGGAAATGTGCCTGCATTTATCTAACACTGCTTTCCCCAAACATTACACTAAAACAGGATAAAGAATATGTCAAATAGGTAGGGTAGGGGAACTATCATAAATAATGCAAATATGCTGTATGGAAATGGTTAAAAAAAAACTTTAAAACTTAAGAAGAGTACAAGGAACAAAATAAGAAAGAAGCATAGATTAACAAGAAAATAATAAATACATAATTATCATATTAAAAGATCAAAAGAGTATTTGATAAGTTTCAAGATCCATTCCTGACTATTACTATTAGTAAATTAGAAACAGAAAGATAACACCTTAACTTAAAAAAAAGTCTTGCTCAAAACAATAGTTCATTGCTTACTATAGAGTAAAATACTAGAATGGGTGGGGGCAGTGGTGGGGTCTTCATTACTTAAGAAGTCCTGAAAGTGCTTCTGTGATTCTGTATATATCTATATAATAAAAGCCTACGCGATTTTTACAGTGGAACAACCAGAACGACCAGTTGCTATGATGCACACTGACCACCAGGGGGCAGACACTCAATGCAAGAGCTGCCCTCCTGGTGGTCAGTGCGCTCCCACAGAAGCCAGGCTCATGGCTGGCAAGCACAGTGGCAGTGGCGGGAGCCTCTCCCCCCTCCGCTGCAGCGAGGTGTCTCAGACTGCGAGAGCCCCGAACTGAAAAGAATGATAAAGAACAAACTGAGGTCTTGGGGTGTTTAGTGCCTGCTGAGATCTCCCTTTGGGTCTTGTGCTGATGATGTATGAGGCTGGCTATTTTGTGTGCCATTCACAGGCCTCCCAGTGGGTACTTGGGTGCTAGCCAATGTCAGAAGCTGTCTATAATCGGCTCTCGGCAACCTGATCAAAGCTTCTAATGATCCACAGTTTGTATCTGCCTCTGCTGAGTTGGGCTGCACATGGGAGGGGCCAAGCTGTGCTCCAAGACCCACATGTTAGCAGCATGGGGCCCAGGAGCAGGTCCCTTGGGACCTGCCGCCACCCATGTCCTGGAATATTTCCCTGACCTCAGGAGGGTGGAGCCCCTCGAAGGCAGGCCATTGGAGTCTGCTAGGAGCTGGAAGTGCCACTCAGGTTCCTGGGAAAGGGAGGGAAATGGTTCCACCCTGAAGCCAGTCACCAATGCCCCCTGAGTCTGACAACCCATAGACCCGCTACTGCCTCCTCAGTGGGGGTTGAGATGCAGGGTGTGGCGAGTGGGGATTCCAGAAGTGGGAGGAGCTTCCCTAGGCTGCTGCTGATGGGAGCGGGGGGGGGGGGGGGGGGGAATGGATGCTGTGGTATCAATGGGGAGGACCAAGCACTGGGATCCTGGAAACTTCTCTCCCATGTCTTTCCCCAGTGCCTCCCACCCCAGACTCTCCTCTCCAGTTGCACTGCCCTCCCTCTGCTGAAGTCCAGGGTGAGTGGCTGTGAACAAAAATCCTGTGCTCTGACCCTTTAAAAAATAAGCAGATTTGTCCCCGGTAGGATCCATCTCTTAGAAGCCCCAAGCCTTTCAACCCTGGATGCTATATGGGTGGCTATTCCCAGCGCTGGTACTCTGGGATGGGAAGCTCAAATGGGGGTCCAGGCCTCACTCCTCTCAAGGGGGAAACAGACCCACCCCAGCCCGGATATCCCTCCGCACCCTTGGCCTGCTGCCCCTGGGAGCCGGGCCATCCTTTCTCATGCCCCCTGCTCTTCCTACCAGTCCTGAGGTAGTTTCTGTTTTTCCTTGTTTAAAAAAAATCTCTTCTTTAACTAGTCTTCAGTTGGCAATTCAGAATGAACGTTCCCTAATTGCATTTTACTTCTAGTTTGGTTCCAGCAGAAGATGCAAGCAAGATCATCCTACTCCACCGCCATCTTCTCCGTTGACTAATTCCAAATCTATATATATAAAACCCTGATATGCAAATAGACCAAACAGCAGAACAACCAAACAACAAAACAACCGAACAACCGAACAACCAGTTCTTATAATGTGCACTGACCACCAGAGGGCACGCGTGGAACATGGCGGGTGTCAGCTGCAGCGGGATGGTGGAGGAGGTGAGCAGGGGCACCAGACCAAGGCAGGGCACTTGTCACTGTCATCGGGGCAAGCCTCTGGTAGTTACTGAAAATTCTTTGCTCCCATGCGCCGCGGTCCTACCCAACACTCGCACCCGCAGCCGGCGTCGGAGCTGATGCTCACACCTGCTGCTGGCCCCCAGTGCCAGTCCCAATCGCTTGGCGCAATCAACAGGTGCAAGCGGCAGCTGCCAGCCCCGATAGCACCTGAGGACTTCTCCACCTCCCCCTGCTCCTGAGGGGAAATCGGGGCAGCAGCCACCACTCACACCCACTGATGGCGCCAGCCACACTCGCACCCGTTGCTGGCACCAGCCCCTATCGCTCCACGCCATCAGCAGGGCCGAGTGGGGCCAGTGCCATCAGTGCGTGGGAGCAGCGGCGGCAGAAGCGGGGCTGCCAGCAAACAGGGTACCGGGGCCTGCGGCGGGAGGGTCTGGGTGGGGGCCTGGAGAATGGGCTGAGACCCACCCCTGTGCCCACAGCTCCTTTCAAGGTGCACGAATTTGTGCACTGGGCCCCCAGTGTTTAATAACAGACAATACTGCAATAAGCATTCTTTTCTATATTTGTCTCATTCTCTTAGGAAAATTTATTGGGAGTATAATTGCTCAAAGGATACCTGTGTTTTTTTTTTAGGGCCTTTGATTCATACTGCCAAGATACTTCCCAGAAACTTTGCAACATTTAGATACCTAGATAGTTATAAAATTAGGGAAAGTACTTTAGGAAAACAACAAAAAAGATGTCATAGCTATTTTATAAAATAAAATAGCCAGGAGTACAAAGTATTACCTGAGGGCGAACAATTTCACCTGCTGCAATTTTCTTCTCATCATTCACCAAGTTAATAATTGTTTTATTAACAAGTGGTGCGTTTGCACCCTCAATCTTTGAAACAATTTTGCCATTCTATAAAGGAAAACAAAACATGAAGGAAACATCCATTTTCAAGTTAAGTCAATAATTAACACTTCAACTCAACTAAGTAACCCCACCCTGACTCATACTTCCATCATCCCTTTCTTAGCAATTGCATTAGCCATTTAAAAATAAGGTCTCAGTGCCTGGCCAGTTTGGCACAGTGGTTGAGTTTCAACCCATGCACCAATAGGTCACTGATTCAGTTCCTCTTGGTTTTAGCCTAACAGCACTGGGAAGCCTTCAGAATATTTAAACAGAGGCAGTGGCCATGATTAAAACTATTGTTTGTTAAGATCATTTCACCTACATGTCGAGAAAGGATTCGAGGGGGAGCAGGAGAAGATACACAAATTCAAAGCTACTCTAGAAGTGATGATGAAAGAGATGGCTGCTCAATCTCTGGCGGTGATGATGGGGAAAAAAAAAAAAACAGATAGTGTGAGGAAAACTTGGTGGTAAAATTGATAGGTCCAAGGTCTGGTGTGGATTGGGTATGACGTAAAAGAGAAGTCGCTAAGACAACTTTCTGTTCTGGCTTGAGAAACTGGATCAATTAAGATGTTATTTACCCAAGAGGCAACACTAGAAGACCATGTTTTCTGGAGAGAGGGAGGATTGGATCAGTTCATTGTGAGATGCCCTTGAGACAACCAAGAGGAAATGTCAAGGCACCAGTTAGACCAGGGGTGGGCAAACTTTTTGACTCGAGGGCCACAATGGGTTCTTAAACTGGACTGGACTGGAGGGCCGGAACAAAAGCATGGATGGAGTGTTTGTGTGAACTAATATAAATTCAAAGTAAACATCATTACATAAAAGGGTACGGTCTTTTTTTTTTAGTTTTATTCATTTCAAACGGGCCGTAGTTTGCCCACGGCTGAGTTAGACACTCAAGTCTGGAGCTCAAGCATAGGGTTGAGCTAAAGATGTAAACTTGAATTATTGATATATCAGAGGTGACAACTGAGACTGTGTGTGGAGATTTTCTGAGTAAAGTATATGGCATGATAAAGTCAATATTTAACAGCTAGAGCAGGAGAAGATACACAAATTCAAAGCTACTCTAGAAGTGATGATGAAAGAGATGGCTGCTCAATCTCTGGCGGTGATGATGGGGAAAAAAAAAAAACAGATAGTGTGAGGAAAACTTGGGTGGTAAAATTGATAGGTCCAAGGTCTGGTGTGGATTGGGTATGACGTAAAAGAGAAGTCGCTAAGACAACTTTCTGTTCTGGCTTGAGAAACTGGATCAATTAAGATGTTATTTACCCAAGAGGCAACACTAGAAGACCATGTTTTCTGGAGAGAGGGAGGATTGGATCAGTTCATTGTGAGATGCCCTTGAGACAACCAAGAGGAAATGTCAAGGCACCAGTTAGACCAGGGGTGGGCAAACTTTTTGACTCGAGGGCCACAATGGGTTCTTAAACTGGACCGGAGGGCCGGAACAAAAGCATGGATGGAGTGTTTGTGTGAACTAATATAAATTCAAAGTAAACATCATTACATAAAAGGGTACGGTCGTAGTTTGCCCACGGCTGGACTAGACTGTTCAGTCAGGTTCAATAAGCAACATTCAGGATTCAGAAAATTTGGTTCACATTAGGCCCATTATTTTAAAACGAGTCCAGTGGGAGCAGAACTTGTCATCACCTATGCTCATGTGTACATCCTACCCTCTTCTCAACGGAGCATCTGAAAAAGAAAAAGAACCAAGCCACACAAAAAAAACACCAAAAGAAGCAAATGTTTCCAAAGGAAGACTGGTTGGTCACTGTCTTCAATACAGTTGAGAGGTACAGTATGATGAAGACCTAAAAGTAGTCATTATATGTAGCAATAGGCTGGCAATTGGATACATTAGCAACAGTAAATTTGGTGGCATAATCAGACAGAAGTTAGATTGAATGGGTGTGACGTTAATGGGATGAGAAGAAATGGAGTAAAAATAGACATAAAAACTCTTCTGAGAAATGTAGCTGTGAACTAAAGGAGAGAGATGAGTGGGAGCTGGGGAAGGACATGGTATCAAAAAGAAGTATTCTATTTTAATTGGAAAGACTTACTCATAGTCAAAGGCCAATGAGAAGGATCTAGCTGAGAAAGGCTTAAACGAAACCCGACATTCTAATTACCATTTCCCATTAAAAGGAACTTTCCAACAATTCGGTGAGCTTTCTTGAAACAGCCCTTCCTGATGAAACTTGCTGAAGAGAATATGTTGTCAGCTAAGAATGCAGGCCAATGCGATGGGCCATTGTGGGAATATTTGAATAAACTAACAATGGGCTTGATGATAGTTTTGTGGTTACAGATTGAGACTCGTAATGCTTACAAATATGAAGCATAAGTGATAACAAAGTCGGAGGCATAAACGCAGGCGTGATTGAATGAAGTGCACTGCAAGAAAAGTTCATTGAAAGTTAGGTGGTCAAGAATTGAGAGTCCAGTCCTGGCCAGGGGGGAGCAGTTGGTTGGAGTGTTGACCAATATGTACCTCAAAAGGTGCAGTTTCGATTCTTGGTCAGGGCACATACCTAGATTGCAGGTTCAATCCTCGGTCAGAGAGCATATGGAAGGCAACAGATCAATGTCTCTCTCTCTCTCTCTCTCTCTCTCTCTCTCTCCTCTCCCCCCCTTCCTCTCTCTTTAAATATCAATAAAAACATATCCTTGGGTCAAGATTAAAAAAACAAATTGAGAGTCCAGGATATTGGGTAGATTGTCAGTGTAGATACTGAAGTCCCAGCATGATGGCAGGACATGGGTGTGAAATGAAGACTTTAAGCCACAAGCTCAAGTCGTCAGTCATCCACACAACTGATCCGAAGACCAGTAAGTGACAGGAATAAGGTGGGGAGGATGAACCAAATTGAGTGTGCCTCCAACAAATAAGGGAAAGATGTTTATTGTAGTGAAAAATAAAGCAACATCAATTCTACTCCTGGCCTCAAGAACAATCTGAGAAAACAGTTCTGGGCAGCAGAAAAAGTGCCCTAAGTAAGGAACCTGACTGAAGGAAAGTCAAGGAAGTGGAACAAAAGCTCAGAGCCCAGGGTGAAGTTCTTAGAAGCCAGACGACTGCTTACATCAATTCCAGATGCCACACGGGAGAAGGGTTTGAAAGATGGGGGAGGACTAGAGAAATGGGTCAGAAAAAAAATTCTGAGCATTAGAAGGATGTGGTTGCAGGTAGAAGAACCTTGACTGGATGGTCCATTTAAGGTCTACTGACCAGGCCTGGCTAACTTGGCAGGGGGTTGGTCATCCCAGAGCTCCAGTCTTTCTTCCTCAGTCCCATGCTCCTAACTGCTGCTGCTGCTGCTAGAGTCTCCTCATGGTCCCATTTGCTTAAGCCCCTTCCTGCTTCAAGCAGTTACTCATTCTGATTCCCTAAACAGCTTCCGGGCCAGGGGTTAGCAAACTATGACCCAACGCAGAGCCAGTGTTTTGGCAAAGCTGAAAATACTTCATATCCAGCCCTTCCCAGAAGAAAGAAGCTGGCTGACCCCTGATCTCACTCATCAAATCCTCCATATCCAGATCTGCAATGCAACTCATTGAGTCCAGTAATTCAGTTCCTTGAAGTCATTGCAAGAGTATTATTTAACAGAAGGGAAATGTTATATCCAAGAAGTGTTTTCAGGTCATTATTTTTAATGTAAAAGGTGAGAATTGAAGTACCCAGCAGCAGAGGAGGTCCTTGCCCTCTGTGCAAGGCCTTTCCTTATCACCCTGGTTCTCTAGCTCCGTAGCAGCCACACTCTTGTCACACGAGTTAGCACTTAACTGCGTACCCTCCTCTAAGAAAATAGCACTTACTATGGTCTTCTGATTATTAAAGTTGTGTGTTCATCACAGAATATTTGGAAAATATACAAAAGTATAAAGAAGAAAAATAAAATTATACATCCTTTCCCCATACATAGACAGTCTGATGAATGCACTTGCTGTCTTCATTGGTAAATACAGAGATAGAAGTAATATATATTACAAAATAGTGATCACACAGCTATTTCCTTGGATTGGTATATATGAATATTTATAACCAAATCTCTCCTACTAGGTATCTAAGAAATTTCCAATTTTTCACTCCTGTAAATAATAATTCATCATACAAATGTCCGATTATTTCTTTTTTAAAAATATTTTTTTTACTGATTTCAGAGAGGAAGGAAGAGGGAGAGATAAAACATCAATGATGAGAGAGAATCATTGATTGGCTGCCTCCTGCACGCTTCCCATTGGGAATCACAACCCGGGCATGTGCCCTCATCCTAATTGAACCGTGACCTCCTGGTTCATAGGTCAACACTCAACCACTGGGCCACGCTGGCTGGGCTGTCTGATTATTTCTTTAAGAAAAGTAAATACATCTTGTGTTTCTTTGCCCTGACCAGCTCAGTGTGTGGTAGTCTAATCTCTCAATCCATTTTTAGCTCCTAGAAGTCAGGTTATAGAAAATATATTAATAGATAAGCAAAGATGAAGTAAAAAATCTATAATGACTTTCATCAGAAAAGAGTTCTGTGGTAATTTTATAATGCTACTTGCTCTTTAACTATAAATTGGAATCTGATAATACATTCGAGAAAATAAATATTATACTTACAACACTAAAAAGAAAAATAGGTTCACAGTTATCTCTAAATGGCTGCAAAGCCGCAACGCTGTCAGCTTCAGCCTGCAAAAAAATATATTAATATTTCACATGATAATATAGGAAACTATAACAAGTCATTAGCTACACCATATACAAAACAAACAAACACAGATACACATAAATTTTACTTTTATATTTACTCAACATTCTCTTAGTATGCAGTAGTTGTTTTAAGTATCAAATTGCAAACACTGGCATGTCAGTCCCTGCATCATTTGGCCTCAACCTGACTTCTGGCTGTTCACCTTTATGGTATTCCAGCACCACCCAAAAAAAGAATGAAAGAGGCTGAAAGTAATCTATCATATTAAAGACCAGAAGTCAAATATTTTATTTTAAAGTAATCAGATATCATCATTACAATGTTTATCCTATATAATAAAAGGTTAATATGCAAATTGACCAAACAGTGGAAAGACCGGTCGCTATGACATGCACTGACCACCAGGGGCAGACGCTCAAAGCAGGAGCTTCCCTCTGGTGGTCAGTGTGCTCCCACAGGGGGAGTGCCGCTCAGCCACAGCTGGGCTCATGACTGGCAAACTTCTCCCGCCTCCATGGTAGTGCTAAGAATGTCCTGGACTGTGAGAGGGAGCAGGTGGGGTTGAGAGAGCCCCTCCCCGAGTGCATGAATTTTATGCACCAGGCCCCTAGTATCATAATAAAGCACTAACATGTAAAGCATTTAATCTTACCTAATAATAGACAAACATGTAAATTGACCATCCCTCCGCTACACTCCCCAGCCAATCAGGGGAGTATGCAAATTAACCCAACAAAGATGGTGGTTAATTTCCATACATAGGCGCCCAGTGGCCTGGGTCCCACGAACATCATCGGGCACCCAGGTCACTCCGAGGTAGGCCCCATGTGGGCCTTGAGCAGCCTAGGAAGGGCCTGAGCCAGGGGGCTCCTGGGCAGGGCCTGAGCCTGCGATCAGAGCCGAGGGGTCCCCTGCCCAGGCCTAACTCCTCGGCCAGAGGTGTTAGGCCTGGGCAGGGACGGAGCCAGCAATGGGAGGGAGCAGGGGCAGAGCTGGTGATTGGAGGGAGCAGGGGTGGAGCTGGCAATCGGAGGGAGCTGGGGGTCCCCTGCCCAGGCCTAAAGCCCTGGCCAGAGGCCTTAGGCCTGAGCAGGGGTCGATGAGAGGGAACTGGGAGTTCCCTGCCCAGGCCCCGAGGCTTTAGGCCTGGGCAGGGGCCGAGCCAGGGATCGGTGTAAACTACAGAGGAAACACCTTTTCTGACCACTCATTGGCTAAGCTCCCTGTATGCCACTGGTAATATTCTTAGTAACTTGGGTAATAAGAATCCAATAAGGTGACCTAGGGTTTTTCCACCACACTCCTGGAGAAAAAAACGAAGGTCCGCTGCTTTACGGCTAAGAAATGTCATATCCTGCCCTAGCCGGTTTGGCTCAGTGGATAGAGCCTCGGCCTGCCGATGGCAGGGTCTGGGTTCAATTCTGACCAAGGGCATGTACCTAGGTTGCAGGTTCCTCCCTGGCTGGGGCCCAGGTCAGGGCTCATGCAGGAGGCAACCAATCAAAGTGTTCCTCTCACTTTGATGTTTCTCTCTGTCTTTCCCTTTCTCTTCCACATTCTCTAAAAAACAATGGAAACATATCCTTAGGTGAGGATAAAAAAAATAATAATAAAGAAAGAAATGTCATATCCTATGAAAGACACATCTTGAAAATGCCTAAAGAAAGTTGTCATTTCGCCCTAACCAGTTTGGCTCAGTGGATAGAGCGTCGGCCTGCGGACTCAAGGGTCCCAGGTTCGATTCCAGTCAAGGGCATGTACCTTGGTTGTGGGCATATCCCCAGTAGGGGGTGTGCAGGAGGCAGCTGATCGATGCTTCTCTCTCATCAATGTTTCTAACTCTCTATCCCTCTCCCTTCCTCTCTGTAAAAAATCAATAAAATATATTTTAAAAAAAAGAAAAAGAAAAAGAAAAGAAAGTTGTCATTTCTTCATGGTGAAGGGACTGGAGTCCGTGTCGATGAAAACACCTTGGTAGCTGCGGTGACTGGCAGTGGCTGCAGCAGCGGGGTGATGGGGCTGGTGCCTTCCCCTGATCAGCCCGGTGGCCTCCCACAAAGGGAGGCCAGGCTGCAGCTTAAGCCTGCTCCCCAAGGGGAGCAGGGAGCGGGCCTAAGCCGTCAGTAGGACATCTCCTGAGGGCTCCCAGTATGTGAGAGGGGGCAGGCTGAGCTGAGGGAGCCCCCCCACCAGTGCACGAATTTCGTGCACCAGGCCCCTAGTAACATTATAAAAGAACAATAAATAAGTTTTACTGAATTTTATATGTATTGGTACAATGTTAGTACAAGTCTCCAAGTCTTTTAAAAGGGAACATAACAGGGGGAAAAAAGTATATGACCATTAAGCTTAGGGTGATATAAAAGGTAATCAATGTCATAGGTCTTAATTTTGGATTTAAATTTACAAGTTCAGAAAGGTCCCCTTCCTTGGCTAGCTGCAGAAAGTAAAATATCCAGCAGAGGGCGACTGTCCATTGTTTACAATGGAGGTTTGGAAACTAGGAATTCATTTTCTTTACCCTTTAGGAGCAAGTCATATAAAAACAGCATCAATCTATGTGAATATACTATTGTTGAATGCGCTCAAACATAACAGAACAGAAACCATTCAAGGACAACGCGCACATTTTTTTGTTAAATTTAACAGATGCAAGTATGGTAGTTAGGCATATTTTGGAAAGATTACTAGCACTTCCCAGTGGGATAGACAAAGTCATGGCCTGTGGAGTAGGCTGAGGAGTTCCGTCTGGTCTGGGTACTGCTGGGAGGACAGTCATAAACCCCAGGCCTGTATCCTCACGCAGCTCTGAGCCGTGTGTGCTGAGTTAGGAGCCTAACAAGCCAGGATTAATAGAATTTTCTGATGATGCTTGATGGTCTGTGATCCATTGGCCAGCTGTTAGATCCTTCTGATACTGTCTTTTAACTTCTTATACCAACCCACTTTCTATTGCATGTGCTAATTCCCTTTAGGCCCCATTCTCTGTCCTCTGAAATTAGGTTTTCCTCCCTGCCAAGGACCAACTTTAGAATCACATTCCAGCCCTATTCGGGTAGTTCTGGCTCTTCAGAGTAAAGCAGGTTGTTATGGAAAGCTGCCTTTTAAAGCACTACCAGGGCCCGCCCTGGCCAGTGCGGCTCAGTTGATTGGAGCATCATCCCATGCACCGAAGGACTGTGAGCTCCATTCCCAGTCAGGACACATACCCAGGTTGCGGGTTCCATCCCTGGTTGGGGTGTGTGTGGGAGGCAACCAATCACTGTTTCTCTCTCACATCAATGTTTCTCTTTCTCTCTCTAAAATATATATTTTTTAAAAACTTTTCTAGACAAAAAGATTTAAGGATTGTCTATAGCCAACTACTCTCTCATTTTATTTTACTTTTTTTTTTCTTTTTCTTATTGGTTCTTTGCCACTTACTGTCTTGAAGATAAAAAGAAATAAGAAGAAGAATTGAGTTCCCAAGCTTGAGCCTGCTTATTTATAGAAAGGACAGTCAAACACAGGTTGAGGTCAGCAAGCAATCTCATTCCAAGGTCTGGGTTGGGAGGGGTCAAGGAAGGCCTGAAACATGCAACGTGTTGAGGTTTCATGTTGGCTTCAGGGATTATGCCTTTTAGGGGTAGGGAGTAAAGATATGTAATTAGTTATCTGCTTCTGCATCTTAGGTCTAGGTGGTTTGGACATGTTTCTGCCTAATAGAATCAGAATGTGAGCCACAGTTATACGTTTAAATTTTCTAGTAGCTACATTGAAAAACTAAAAAGAAACAGGTGAAACTAATATTATATTTAACGATACAACTTTCTTTTTTTTTTTTAAATATATTTTATTGATTTTTTACAGAGAGGAAGGGAGAGAGATAGAGAGTCAGAAACATCGATGAGAGAGAAACATCGATCAGCCGCCTCCTGCACATCTCCCACTGGGGATGTGCCCGCAACCCAGGTACATGCCCTTGACCGGAATCGAACCCGGGACCCCTTAGTCCGCAGGCCGATGCTCTATCCACTGAGCCAAACCAGTTTTGGCGATACAACTTTCTTATACGATAATATATCCAAAATATGATCATTTTAACATGTGATCAATGTAAACATTATTGAGACATTTCACATACTTTTCTTCATACTAAGTCTTCAAAATCTACTGTGTATTTTACACTTAGGGTACTTCTCAATTTATGGGCTAAATTTTAATCATAAATAATGGTCTCTAATTTGATTTCATAAAATTTACAGTAAAAAAAAAAAGTAGATTCACATACCCAAGTTTTCGAAAGCAACTCTAAAAATTTTACAATAATTGAATTGAGTATAGTTTTCTAATTTAAATACATTAATAAAAAAAATTCAGTTCCTAAGTCACACTAGCATAGTTCAGTGCTCAAAAGACACTTGTGCCTAGTGGCCACCATATTAGATAACAAAGCTCTCAGTAGTTAATAATTTAATGTGGATACATTGAAAAATACAATGAGTTCCAATGAGTTTGGCTATAATATTTTAATCCCTTGGGTGGCAAATAAATGAGGAAAATCACTATCATTAGAAAATTGCTACCTGGTTAATGCCCAGAGTCCTTCTCAAAGCTATTCAGTAAATAGTATTTGCAGCCCTTATTCTAAGAGACACAGTGCATAAGGTCAGGTGAAAAGAAATATCAATAAACAGATAACCATTTCTATACTTTTCTAACGTTCACAACCATGGTCAAGAACCACAGCGTTATAGGCATGGGGTAAAAATCTCGTTTGTTCTCAGATCAGGTAGAACTAAACATATAGTAAAACTACCCAGTAATCACTGTCCATTTGGAAGACTTGACAGGTTGTTTAAATCAAGACAATCCTTAAAGAGAACACTTTAACACCTAAAGTAACAAGAAAACAATAGTTTTATGGAAATTAAATCCTTACTACAACAAAATGCAGAATTTCATCTTCGTTCAGCTCATTTTTCAGTTTCCTGAATAACGTTTGCATTGCTTTGCAGGGTCCACACCAGGCTTGGTAAACATCGATCACTAGAAGATGATGATATTTATGAAAGGGCAGAGTCAAAGCTTCTGAAATAGCAGCTTATCCCAGGGCTGGTGCAGGCCAAGGGCAAAGACATAGCAGGGCTTTGTGTGGAGTAGAGAGCCGTGCTCTGTGCTGGGGTGCCCTGGGGTGTCCTGGGCCAAACTCCAGGTTACTGGTCAATGGGGGAGCCCCAGTACCTGTTAGGCCTTTGTTCTGCAACATCTCATCCCAGAGGCTTTGACTATTGATGACAGTCTGCAAAACGGAAGGCGCTATAAACGGCCTTCAAGTGCCAGTGCACCAAGTAAAGAATTGCTGCTAGGTCATGCCTACCTGTAACTGGATTTCTCGCTTTTTGCCTGCCATTTATCCACTATCACACGAAAAAGGGGAGAAAAATAGAAAACACTTCAGAGAAATTTAAATCATGTCCTGTTTATGCGTTCAAGCAACATCTTAATGCACAGTAGACATTTTTCCACCCTCCACCCCCAGAGACTCCTGTGTCCCAAAGGCCTCTTCTTGCTGGGCGCTCTGCTAATGCTGAGGTACAGCAGCCAAACGTCTTCCTAACACAAGAATCCTGAGCAAGGTAAGAATGTAAGGAGGTAGAGTTTCTTAAAAATATCCATCAGATGCTCAAACCTCAGAGGGAAGGTAGGGGAGGGTGGAGGTAAGGGAGAGATCAACCAAAGGACTTGTATGCATGCATATAAGCATAAGCA